TGCAGAAGAAAAAAACAATACAAGAGTGTAGCAATGGATTAATGAGTTGGAAGGTTTATCAGATGGCAAAACACGACCCAGTTAACATATTTTATGTATTTAAGCCTGACAGATGCTTGCAGGTTTAGTTAACCAGCTGCTGGCTGTGCAGATATAATTCTGAAGGTCTGTCTTAATGAAACTAAAGAGGATTTTTTGTTTCTTTTTTCAAACTTTTACCATAATTTTTGGGTATTTCTGTTGAATTCAGGGTGCTGATTATGAAGAAGTGCTGATAAATGTATTTCATTCTGCAGGTTATTCTGCTCATTATTGGATCCACTTCATTCTGTTGTGACTTGATTTTGTTTTAGAACAGCACAATATTCAGCACCAAAAACTTCCCGTTTCACCTTTAACCTTTCAACGTCAGTTTGTCCTATAACAGGTTCACCAACCTTGGTTTGTTGTGCAGCAGATCAGTGAGGTCAGAACTGCAAAGAGAGGCAAAGTTTCAGTGAGCTTCAGTGAAGTTTTGCTTCAAACTCCAAATGTCAAGCAAAAAAAGTGCAGCAGTGACAAACAGAAAGTGTTTTTCAGGGACAGGATGTAGGTTATAGATGGAGGTGAGAAAGTAATTCAACACTTACTTAAACCGTATTTTTAAACCGTTTAATGAAGCAAAAGTTTAATTTAGAAACTTTCTGTGAGTCAAATTTTATTTAATTGTGCCGCTCTTTTTCATCAAGCTGTAAATGTAGGTAAATAAAGCTTTTCGTACTTACAGAGGAGTCGTAGAGACATTTGACCCATTGTGCCGTGAGCAGAGATGTGAGCAGTCACACCCACCGACTTCCTCGGGTCTAGCTGCTTTGTGGGTTTTTTTTAAAAGCAGTGACAGGAAACCTGACCTTCTTACTGTAATTCTTCAGACGAGTTATGAAACATCCAGTGAATTTAGGCCACAAACACACTCAGATTTTTAAAATCACTCACTCATCACATTTCATGCTGGCATGACAGACGTCACATATGAGTACAAACAAAGTCCAGAGCAGATGGGCTGATGTGAGTTAGAGAGATTTCCCTCACGTCACTGCGACTAAAAAGAGATCATTCACAAGCTTGTGCAGTTATCTTTAACAGATGATGTCACTAGAAAATAGCAAAATAAATGAAGACATCCTCAAGAAATTCTGTAGTCACAGAGTTTGTCTCATAATGTAGTAATTAGGGCTAAATTTATCTTTGCAAACAATTATGCATGTTGCTTTGGATTGAAGGAGACGGTTTAGCACAAAATTAGTTGCATAGCCTGTAAAGTTGGCCCAATTTAAGGTTATCAATTATTATATGGCATCTTGCAGTCAGTGTTCTCAGGTGTAACAGGTTCCCTCCAC